TAAAGGATAAGAGTTCCACCATGTGGTTTGCTCTCTAGATGAAAGCAGAGACATAAATTCTAATTTAATATTAAGTCTTTCCAGTGCAGCCTGAAACTATATTTGGCTCGAAATGTCTTAGTTTTATTATTTTTTTTTTCTTTCCTTTCTTATTCTACAGGATTTCAGTTTCACTTTCATGATTTTTCCTTGTTAACCAGACATGTCACAGTTTCAAACATATTTTGTGTCTATGTGTGTGCATACGTATACACACATGCACACATATATATGTGTGATCTCAGAGTCTAATATTTTAGGACCTAAAAGAAAGTTCCAAATAAATATTTTTAATTCATGAAACTGTCATTGGGTTTCTAATGCTTATCGCTTTTCCAGATGTCCTTGTTGTTACAATGAACAATAAATAAACCTCTGAAATGATGCAGATTGCTTGATTTCTGCCAGTCTTTCCCCCCATTTTGGGATCACCAACTAATCCTTGGGCTGAAGAGAGGTTTCTTCATTAATGAGAATTAACTACCAGATAAAATACATCTACTTGGATTTCTTTCTTCTGTAAAATGTTCTGGGGAAGCACAACCCCAAACTGAAACCAGCCTGTAATTTTATCATCCCAAATCAGAAGTGGAAACAAGAAACAAAGACCCCAATACATACAAATTAGATCCTCCAAAGACATTCATTGGTATTCAACTGTTTCCAAACTTTACAAGATAATAGAAATTTTGTATTTTATTTTCAACATAAAAGAGCCACAGACCAATTTAAACTAGCAACTTTGTTATGGATAGGGTATCAAATTCTTTTATTTGTAAGGCAGAAGCTAAGGAGGAGAGATTCAGGACATGATTTCTACTCAGCAAAAACTTGAACCAGAGGACTTACTGTCTGCTCAGATACACCAACATGTTTAACGTAATGAAACACATAACTTCTTGGAGTAAACTCAGATTAAAGGAATAGAATGAAACTGTTTTATGTGCAGTTTATTTGACTTTCATGGCCAAATAGTGCAAAAAAAAAAAATCTCCTTCTTTATTTTGCAGTATATTTAAACAGAACAAACTATATTCTATTTAAGTGCTGTTGTGTTAACAACAACAACAAAAGGCATCATGCTGCTTCAAAAAAAAAAAAAAAAGATTTCAAGCATTGTAGCAACTGGTTGTAGAAAGTTCAAGAAGGTGAGGACAAGGCACATGTTAGTTTGAATCCAGGCTCCATTACTTCACTAGCTGTGTGACCTTCAGCTTTAACCTTACCTCATCCAGTGGGAAACGTTTCATATGTAAAACAAGAATCATCCTAGCACCTATATCAATAGGCTGTTCTGAAGTGGAGATAATATTAATCACCTAGTAAACATATATATGATAATGAAGAATTGAATGACAGTTAATAATTACATTTTTTTGCTGGTCAAAAGGGTAAACATTAGTGAAGAGTTAATACATGTAAAGGACTTGGAATAATGCCTGAGACATAAATGGTAAAGAGGAGCTGAAAGAACCTGAAGGAAAAACAAATTAATCCCATAGCTTACATTCCTCTAGGAAATGAGAAGAATCCCTATCTGTTATAGACTTTATAGACACTAAAAGGTCAACCCGAGAAGGTAAAAAGATAGTCGTGGGTTGTAGAGATATCATTACTACCTGTGACTTTTCAGGTGACATTGGATATGGAGCAAAATACTGAGAAGAACTAGATAAATCTCTCAGGAAGAGATTCCGCGTCTTTTCACCCCCTGCCCTTAGGTAAAGCAGCCATTTTAAGGGAGAGGTTCAGTTAAGTTCTTTGATGGCTTCTGATTCCTGCTTTCATCTCTGTAGCCATCAAGCTCGGGAGCCTGGTAGGTAGAGCAGAAAGCCAGGCCCCAGAGAGAGACAGACTGCAGACCTCATACAGGAGGGACTGGGAAGAATTAGAAACTTTATTCCTTGGTTGAAAATAATAGTGCATCCCTCACTCCAAAAGAAGAAACTTCAATATACGTTCTCAATAAACTGTAGTCTCAGAGAGTCAAAGAATTCTGGAAAGTTTTACAAGTTCTTCTCTGAGCAACTCTGAAGAAATTCATAGCTTTTGCATCATGTTCTAATAAGCAGTAAAGAACATTTCTTATTGTTTACTTCAAAATGTATGGTGTCCTAAGTTAAACATACTTTTTACAAAAATATTTATTTATTTATTTGGGGGGGGGGGGCAGAGAGAGAGGGAGACAGAGAACGCCAAGCAGGCTCTGTGCTGTCAGCTCAGAGCCTGACATGGAGCTCGATCCAATGAACCATGAGATCATGACCTCAGTCAGAAACCAAGAGATGGATGCTTAACCAACTGAGCCACCCCAGTGCCCCAAACATACTTTTAATTAATATTTTTATTTCCTTAGATTTAAGCATGGTAGAGTCAGCTTTCAGTGGTCTGCTTAGAAACAAACAAAAGTTTCTAAGTGCCTTGAAAAAAACATGCACTCTTATAATTGGAATTAACACGATTAAAAACAAATTCTGATGAGTGACTGACGATTGGAAGAAATTATTTTAAAAGCAGAGTAAGCCACACAATATATCCTTTCATATGTAAGAGACTGAGAGGGTGGATAAAGAGAACTCCCCATTAGTGAAGTAAACACTGAGTTAGTCTTGGTAATAGTTAACTGTGCAGGAAACACCTGTACTGTTGAAATGTACAGGCATTTTGGCTATGGCACATAGTAGGTGCTCAATATATATTTGATGAGTGTATGCATTAATATCTATTATAAACTTACCTATTCTGTATAACATATTACACTTTTATTATATCATCTACATTATAATTATTGGCCAATGAACTTGACTACAATAGAGATTTGTTAACAAAGGCCTATCACCTTATTAACGCTAATTAATCTTTCTCTTGAGGAATAAAAGGAACATAGAGAAAGACATCTATTGTAAAATGTTTGCTGACTTTTAAGATACCACCAGGGAGGTATTCTTCCTTTAGAAAAAAAGACTCCATCATGATGAAAATATTATCTCTTAAATGATATCACTAAGCCTGGAAGAGATAATAGTAGCAAACTGTGGCTATACCATAGGAAACACCTAGAATCTGGAAGAAGCAGAAAATATCCATTGAATTCTGGATATTTCAAAATATATCAATATATTTACTGAAGTAAGTTCTTACAACTATTCTTTAGCTAATTCTAACATAGTAAAAGTTTAGGCATATATTATATATTTAAAAAAAATTTAACGTTTATTTATTTTTGAGACAGAGAGAGACAGAGCATAAGCAAGGGAGGGTCAGAGAGAGAGGGAGACACAGAATCCCAAGCAGGCTCCAGGCTCTGAGCTGTCAGCACAGAGCCCAACCCGGGGCTCGAACTCACAGACTGCGAGATAATGACCTGAGCCGAAGTCGGATGCTTAACCGACTGAGCCACCCAGGCGCCTCTATATATTTTATACTCTATTATATATAGAATTCTCTCTCCTTCCTTACATTATACATGCCCTTGAAATGTGACATATGACTGAAGAATAGTCTATGGAGACAAACAGGGAATGACGATAGAAGTTACAGACAGGAGTAAAACTATGAGATCATAGGAATAATTGTACACTTCACATTTACCTAAGTATATAGACTCTATTCATATGAGTGTATGAATCCTTTTATTTCATTTCTGCCTACAACATTAGGTAGTTTGCATTCGTAGATGTGACCTGCGCTAATCCAAGTAAACATCAAATCATGCTGTTTAGATGCTAACTTCCAGAAGGGGCCACATTCACCTTTCATTTGACTTAAATGCAGTTTTTAAAGGTAAACATGCTATGAGTTTAAACTTCCACAAGATCTAGTTTCTGCTGCCACCTTCACTCTTCATTTTATAATCTGTCTCATTCTATTGATTGAGCATCAGCTTCTCTCTCAGACTGGAACTTCATCAAGCCACAGGTCTCTCTTGCATCTTGGAATCCTGAGTTCCCTACACAGACTAGGTTTTTATCCCATGTTTATAGAAGTGGTTTGCTCTCGAACTTTCCCCTCCAACTACATTTTTGTTAGTTTCCATTCATTTTGGGGTACTTCTGTAAGATCTACAATGATTTTTTTCTCTCCATCTTTCACCTGATGGATCTTTCTTTTTGTTTTTGTTTTTTTTTTTCAACGTTTATTTATTTTTGGGACAGAGAGAGACAGAGCATGAACGGGGGAGGGGCAGAGAGAGAGGGAGACACAGAATCTGAAACAGGCTCCAAGCCCCGAGCTGTCAGCACACAGCCTGATGTGGGGCTCAAACCCACAAACTGAGAGATCGTGACCTGAGCCAAAGTCAGACACTCAACCAACTGAGCCACTCAGGTGTCCCAGATCTTTGTTTCTTATAGATAAAGTATACTCTTCAGGGGTAACTGAATACCAAACAGTATCTTAAACAATAATACAAAAGGTGCATACAGCTTATTCATTACTTATTATTATAGATATGAAAAATTATTGGTATTGACATGAATACCAACATATTAATGTGTAAATATATATTTTTATCATAAACATCAAAATTTGAATAACTGACAGGAACAACTTCACTAAAGGCACTTTTAGAAGTTACTCAGTAAATGGTAATATCTGCTAAAGGGTTACTTTTTAAAAATTTGTTATTAAGGAGTGAAAAAAGTCACTTAGCAATGTGAGCTACTGAAAGATGGTCATTAAAATAGCTCACTATTCAACAGTGTTTTCAGAATCATGGAAAAATTCTCTCATGATGTGTGTGTGTGTGTGTGTGTGTGTGTGTGTGTGTGTGTGTGTGTGTTTGGTGTGTGGTTTTTTGTGTATTTCTTCAAAACAAATAGAAAATATAATATCTTCCATTTTCAATTGTATGTTATAATTTAACATAATCCAAACCTTAGAAACATATTCCTTGGGTTACCTATGAGACACCAAGTAATCACCTGGCAAATAGCATTAGCACAAAGGCTCAAGCCTCTTACCATCAAATCCATCTTCTTCTGACCCTAGTTCATCATCTGAGCAGATGTTGAGGACATTTACCAGCATTTCAGTCACTAAAAAGGAAAAGAATAAAAATTAAAAAGTCCAGATTTTCAGTTATAGCGTTAATTATTACTCTGGCATTATTAATGAGCAAGCTTAGCATTTCTTACCTATATTGTATATAGAATCTCCTGCAAAGCACTTTCTATGAAATCCTGATCATAAAACATAACCGGCTTGGTGATTCTACACAGACTATATGTTTATAAAAGTATTAGCTCATGCCTATGAAATGGTATGGTGACATTTAACTAGCTATGTCAACAGACAATGGACAAATCAGATATGTGGCTGTGAATATACTATCCATCTATGAAGGAGGAAGTGATTCCCTTTGAATTTTTATTTGTTTGTATGATGATGCTATTACATCTAGACCACATTGCAACCATCTGTTTTGCAGGGACTAAGTGAATGCTAGATCTCTCTCTCTCTCTCTCTCTCTTTTTTTTTTTTTTTAATTCTTTTAATCCCCCCAGAGAACCCAGCACAGTGATGGGCATGGGTTTTGTTTGATACGAATTGCCGACTGACAAACTAATATTTGAAGTAATTTTGAGGATACTAAGTTTAAATTTTATTTTCAAAACTTTATCAATAAAGCTTCGGTAAGTTTAAGAAGACACTTAATTGAGTAAACTTATTACAACCAGATTGTATTAAAGCGTTGTCACAGAGATTAGTACCATGTTACTTTTACACTAAGGTGCACGCTATTTACATTTAACAACTTCTGAAATTAGGTTGGATTCTGTCACAAAGGTGAAAAGAAAGTGGCCTACTATTTCTTCAAGAGCTCCTTTTAAAAATCAGTGTGATTCTAGAGTGGAAGATCTATGATAAAGAGTAAATATCGGGGCGCCTGGGTGGCGCAGTCGGTTAAGCGTCCGACTTCAGCCAGGTCGCGATCTCGCGGTCCATGAGTTCGAGCCCCGCGTCGGGCTCTGGGCTGATGGCTCAGAGCCTGGAGCCTGTTTCTGATTCTGTGTCTCCCTCTCTCTCTGCCCCTCGCCCGTTCATGCTCTGTCTCTCTCTGTCCCAAAAATAAATAAACGTTGAAAAAAAAAATTTAAAAAAAAAAAAAAAAAAAAGAGTAAATATCAATGTAGCCAATATTAATCCACAGCTTCCATTTAACTATCAAAAGTGAATTATGTATACAAATATACTAATAGGTTCTTTTGTAATGGATGTTCAAAATCTGAACATTTACTGGAAACAACCCAAGTGAAGGGTGTTCAAAGGGTTCCCAGTAGTTGTCAGGATTCACACTGCTTCTGCTTCCAGAGAAGCCAACAGAGGACAGTAACACATGCTGTGTTCTGATCAGTGTAGGGAGGTGGTGACATGGTGTAGTGCTGGGAACACTTATCAGACTATTAAAATTTACTCTTGACTTATTTTGGTATCTGAAAGAAAGACTTCTTCACTGACAAATCATAACTTCACGATTTAATCATTTTAAGGAATTTAAGGGAAAAAACCCTCCATACATATTATAGGAAAATAAATACTACATTCATATATCATACACATTTATTAATACAAATAAATACATATTTCAGAAAAAATGTGTAGCTTTTCTCTAAAACCCCTATAAGGGTTCTGAAACATGTGCAAACTCTTACCTTTATTCTGATGCCTTATTTACCTTCTCTGGTGATGTGTCATATCATGCCTGAGTTATGACCCGGTTTGCCCCTGTTAGCCCTCCTGAACTAAATGCTTAAGCCCAGTGAGTGCAGGACTTTCCTTGAAATTTTTGATGAGGTTTAGGTCAAAATATAAAACAAAACAAAGAGGGAAGGAAGGAAGGAAGGAAGGAAGGAAGGAAGGAAGGAAGGAAGGAAGGATAGGAAAGGAAGGCAAACCAATTCTTTTGGAAAACTGGACAAGTTAATAGTCAATAACTATATAAATGTAAATCTGTCTCATCTTGTAACACATTAATGGTCGCCAATTTGTAAAGAAGTATTTTTGTTGTTGTCGTATGTATTGGCTTTTAAATTATTATGGCCATTAATCACTGTCACACAGTGATTATTATCAACATCAGAATGTGAGAAAAGCATGGCTATCTTAACCTTTTAATTTGACAGGTAGTTTATAAAATAAAATAGCGCTCGAATTAAGATAGGAGGATAAGGGGGAAAAGTAGCCATGATAGCTTGAAGCAAGTTAAAACTATATATCTGCCATTTTTCAAAGAGTTGTAGTATTCCAGTGAGATCACAAAAATTCTCCTAATGTTTCTCATTACTCTTGTTTACCCTTATTTCACTCATTATATTTTGTTAGCAGGATACACAGTGACACACTTTCAAATCTTTTCCCTCATGTTGCCACTTGTGACTTTTATTGGTCAGGCCAAAGTGTTTCTCTGTTTTATGGTAAAACAGTCCACATCCCTTCCCCTTCCTTCCCATATCATTGCAGGATTCCACAACACACCTTTTTCTCCAACAAAGGGCAGGGACCAAGTGAAAACATCCATGAAATTTGGAAGCCAGTATGGGTGAGGAGAACAGTTGAATTGCCTGATGTTCATGACATTGTTCTCATACTTCAATACTGCAGCTGAAAACAACAAGAACAAAGACATTAGGTTTACGTGTACATATTTCTGCTTCTCCACATGGCCTCAGCTGATCAAGAAAATTAAACTGTGTGACTTTAGGTCCAAAATATCAACGCCAGTAGCTTAATCAGTCATGAATGTATACACTACTCGGGAATCAAACTATACTCAATGTAATATGAAACTGCACAATATATGAATGCTAAATATGAAATGGCATTACAGTTTGGCAAATATTTATATAAAACAGCTAATCAAATGTCTATCAGGAATTGGTCAAGCTCCTCTTACAGCCAAGAATATTCTAGTCTTATTTAACAGTTGATGACCCTAATAAAAGTGGTATAGCTAAATCATTTTCACAATTTAATAATCTCCTCAAATATTTGAACAGAATTTACTTCTATGTTTTCAAAGAAAGCATGCATTTTCCATTAGAACTCACAATGGTTGTACACAGTAGTTGAAATTAGACTGCATTCTTGACTTAATAAAATAAAATGTTTGGATTGGATCTTACATAAAATAATATATTGGATCTGACTTCACTCCTGACTTCTGGAAAGGAATCACCATCCATGACTTAGGAAATGAATCTACCCTTTTCACTCTGCTTTGTATAGTGTCTGTAGGTTAGATACACAGTCACAGAGAAAGCTATGGTTGCAGAGATCCTAAGATCATTGCTGGTCTCACTACTAACCAGACTCAGAAATTCAAATTCATTCCAAAGCAATCCCAATACAAGGTTAACAGGTCTCTGTGAGTCCCTTCCTTCCTTCCTTCCTTCCTTCCTTCCTTCCTTCCTTCCTTCCTTCCTTCTTTCTTTCTTTCTTTCTTTCTTTCTTTCTTTCTTTCTTTCTTTCTTTCTTTCTTTCATTTCAATTTTGGGGCTTCTGGGTGGTTCAGTTGGTTAAGCATCTGACTCTTGATTTCAGCTCAGGTCATGATCTCACAGTTCATGGAATGAAGCCCCACATTGGGCTCTGCACTGACAGTAGAAACCCGGCTTGGGATTCTCTCTCCCTCTCTCTCTGGCCCTCCCCCACTCATGCTCTTTCTCTCAAAATACATAAATAAACTTAAAAAAGAAGATTTCATTTTGAAGTAATCTCTACACCCAACATGGGGCTCGAAATTATAACCCCATGATCAGGAGTTGCATGCTCTACCAACTGAGCCAGCCAAGCACCCCTCTGTGAGTACTTTCAATTTAGGAAGAGCTACTTGTTTTAACGGCATCATCTATTCTATGGATAGACGAACAATTTTAAGTTGTGGGAAATTCTCAAGTTGAGTTTAAAACTTCTTTACCACTCAGTGATCCTAATTCTGCCTTCTGGATAGATACAGAACAAGTATACTTCTGATTCTAAATGACAATCTTTTAAATACGAATCACAATACTCTTGCATCACACCTTCCTAAACTTTGGTAAGATTTTGCTTTTATTATCGTCTCATGGCATAATTAGCATCACATTAGTGGAAATTATTGAACAGATCCTAGATGATGTCAAACGGGTTTTTTCTTTTTTGTTTAGGCTTTTAAAACATAGAGAAAGCAATCATTTCAATACTTTATGTTGTAGCCTGTGATTACAGGTAAGAGATCAAAGATAGCCCTTCGAAATCTAGTTTTTGAAAAGCTACCAAACGTTTACTGCTTTTGAGCCTTAATGTCTGCATTAATATCTTAACTTCTTACTTACCAATATCTTTAACATAGCATTGCTTTCCTAACCGTGTTTGCTCTTTCACCTGGAATATTTTCTTAGAAACCTCTAAATACCCCAGGTTTTCTATCCTATGGTGTCGAACCCAGACTGTATCCCTTCAGGGAAATCTTTTCTGATTTCTTCTAGCGGATCTAATCTCAACCTTCCTCTGCATTCCAAAAGCTCTTGACTTAAACCTCTATACTGCATTTATTATTTGATATTGACCATAGCCATTGTATATATATATATATATATATATATATATATATATATATATATGTGCATGCCAAACTTCTATATCTTTAGGGACAAGTATCATACAATGGGCTTTATATTTCTTTGTGCTTCACATACTACCTTCTCAGTATAAATGCTCAGAAGCTAAGGATTCATCTTCCTATTTCTCCAGATTTCCTATTTCTCTCTTTTTTTTTTTAAGGAAATTCTTCCTAATCCCTTTGGCTCTTCTTCATATGAGAGGGCTTTTAGTCCCTTTCCTTCTTCCTGCTCATCCCTATTCTGGATACATGCCACATTGGCAATGTCCCTGTAAAAGTGTGGCCCAGAATGAAGATAAGTTTTTTGGTGGGTTTAACCAACGCAGAATATGAGGAAGATATATAGTTTTTTGTAATGTGGATACTATATATATCATATTGCAGCCTAATAATATGTTGGTGTTGTCAGCAGCTTGCAGTTAACTAAAATCATACTTGAGAACAGTACGGTCTTTGCTTCAAAACATATTTCTGGCTCACCAGCACAGTTCCAGGGAACAGAATCACTACACTTTGGGGACAAGAAATGCAGATAGTGCAGTCATTGACATGGAAGGAATTAATATCTTCTTCCCACAGACTGCTGAATCCTGCATATATGTCTGTAACCCCATTCTTCTTTAAATTATCCTATCATTTATGCCATAAGACACTTGACCTAAGGATACATTCATATAGTATTAAAGCCATGCAAAATGAAAAAAAAAAAATCATGGCAAATTACCATACAAATATCTCTGATCTGCCAGATGGAAAAGGTGAAGTATTTCCCACCTTTGCTAAGTACTACCTGAATACTGGCTCCATTTAAAAGGTCTTTACTATTTTTGGATACAGCATATTCATAGCAGGAGTATGTTCTCATGTCTTCAAAAGATCCTTAAGGTTCTAATCTTTTTGAAGAGCAATGTCTCCTGTGAGCTTCCCCCGCTTTTTATCTGGCATTAGATTGGTGCAGCAGGAGGAAGGAAAATAGATGTGAAAACTAACCTTGGGCAAATAACCTCTCCAAATGCCCTGGCAGAAAGGGAGAGATTCTATAGAATATGTCATTTAGTCCTTACTACAAATCTGAGAGGCAGGTGTGACTGCCGTTACGTTATAATCCAAGGAACGGAAGTTGAGAAATGAAATGGCCTGCTCAACATCAGTCAATGAGCAACTGAAAGATAGGACTCATATTTAAACTCAGGTTTTACTGACATCAAACCCATCCCCTCTCCACCAGTCCCTGTGTCTCTTATAAATTATAAATGGATGAATTCTAGTCTTAGCTGTTATACTAACTTAACCTTGAATATAGTATTCATAATTAAAGATGTTTTAGCTTTTGCCAAAATCATATTGAGAAAAATGAAATACGATGAAAATTTACAAGTGAGGGTATGGCTTGCTCAATAGATAACACAGAGGTTCTGTTTTGGAGCTGGTGAGACAAAGCATTTCTTCATTCGACGCTGACTCAATATAATTTATCTGAGTGCCTACTGATAAAGCAGGAATTTTTCCAGATTTTATTTTTGTTTATTGACAGCAGAAATAATAAATTGTCACAGTAGCTACATTTACTAAGCATCTGCTATATATCAGGCATTATATTTGGTCCTTCACAAAACGTAATCACAAATCTTCACAATAGCCCTCAAAACTAGTTCTTATTTGCATTTCAAAAATAAGCAAACAGAGGGGTTATTTGCCCAAGGTCACACTTAAGAAGCAGTTAAATTCAGTTCTGGTCTGAGTCTAAATTCCCCGATCTTTCTAGTATTCCATGATATTCTCACCCCAACTGCATAAACTGTTCATTGCCTGCCAAGTTTTGAATACAGATTCTCCTTCCACATTTATTCTTTGTAAAAAAGAGCACAAGACTGGAAGGCCAGGAGCCCAGACTGCTAGATGGGTTCTGTCATTAAGTACTCACAAGACCCGAGGTCACTTAAAGTGTTTAGATTTCAATTACCTCACCTAACTTCATGGATTTATCTAGATAATTTATATGACCACTTCCAGATCTGAATGATAACAAACTTCTGGAACAAAGACCTCATCATTAATGCAATGAATAATATTCTCAGTAATTCTAGAGACTATTTATAGAACATTTTTCTACTTCTCTATAGGTTAGAGAAAAGAATAACTTAAAAATGCAAATACACCAAAAAATATATTCTTTTTTCTTCAGCAGCATAAGGTATTCACTCAAAGATACTTCCTGAATAACCTTACATTAATAAGTTACTCATAAATTTTTATGTTTTTGTATAATACATATATGTGTATATGTGTGTGTGTGTGTGTGTGTGTGTGTGTGTGTGTGTGTGTATATCATAAAAGTACATGAAAAAAACCCTTAATCTAAAACAGTCCCAAATATCTACAGTCACGAAATTCACAGTTAACATTTCATCTTCCACCTCCCACATCCACCCCTGCCACCTGCCTCTAACTGTCACTGGGATTACAAAACTCAACTAGAGCCCTAACAGTGTGCTGTTCTCTGAAGTACTTGAAAGACATTTATCTCCAGTGCAATATAAATAATACAAGTGGTTGTGCTTCAAGAATCACTCGAGACCAACTCCTGAGACCTTGTCTGAGAAATAGAGAAAGAACAAAGCCTACTATCAAGAAATCTCGCCATTATACTGGCAATTATACATGACCTCCTGTCATTTAACAATTGCATCGGAGGCCTACAGCGAGATTATGACATATATACAAGGCCATGTTATTAACCAAATTCAGAGCTGACCAGACAGTCTAGAAACAAGTGCTCTTCTTTTGCACATGTGCTTGTGAAAAATAGCCAGAAAAAAAATTGATATAATGGAAAGAATTCTAAATTCCATAAACCTGGAGGCCTGACTGCCTGTTCTTTCTCTGATGTCAAAGTTATGGCCTTAAAGTTATGCAATTACTTGGTCTAATCATTTTTACTGCACCTGTGGAACCCTATACAAACAAACATGTAAGCCATGCTGTGTATGAGATATAAAAT